ATATTTTGGTATAAGGTGTATAGTGTATTGCTGCCGTAATGTAACATTTGTATTGAAATTTGTATTTGTTGTGTTCGATATGGAAAACATTAAAATGCAAATTCGTGTATACATTGATGTGTAACAGGTAAATTAGTATGGTGTTGGACAATCATTTTTCAATTGTATCATTGCCATGCATAATTGCTAGGATGTATAGGACCTCAAAATACCCTAATTCCTTTCATAACTATCCGAATCAAATAGAGTGGGGGGTAAATTTGTGTTGTTAAGAAGAAAACAACATGAATATGACCACGTGTTAATAGTGTGATGTTCATATGATGCCGAGCTGCCATAACAAGAAGCTGAGAGGAAGCAATCTTTATCTCATTGAAGCACATACTTACCAATATGGTTCAATTATAATTCAAATGCTTGTAACGCTCTATGAATATGTACATGTTGGTGAAATAAAACATAATCCACAAAGAAAACATGCACTCGTTTAATTTTTAAATGATCAGTTGATGTGCTATGCGTATTAAAGACGAGGTGGGTGAGACGACTTGCTGCTTGTCCAAATTTGATTGCAATTATAAAATACATAAAAAATAGAGAGAAAAAATAATCCCAATTTGTTCGATTCAGGCTCGTTTGTGATTGGGTAGACTTGCTATGACGTCAGCCTGTTCGTGGTCTGCGGCTGCTCAGCTGCTCAGGCGAGCGAGTGGCGTTTTTACTCGGTGATATATACGACCAACACTACCGGAGTTTCGATCATTGCGTCAATCAGGTTTGGTCTTAGTGGTGAGGCTCTTTCCTGATCGTCGTTCAGTAATCTACGTCGTTCATTGCATTAATCAGAGAGAGGTTCCAGTAAAGTGTTAAGTCGAGTCTCTTTTTCTATTGTTGTTCAGTAGTCTACGTGCGTAGTTACCTTTTTTATAATTCGCGTTGGTGTGTGAGTCGCTAAATACATCCCAGCGGATTGTTTACCTATCCTATTTCAAACATGTGGCTGAAAGGAAACCAACCTAATGTCTTACCGTGCGCGAGAAAAGAGGACAATTCTCCGTTTGTTTACATCGGACACCATGGAGTACGAATACGTTTTTCGTGTCGTTCTCATACTGTGTACTATATACACGATGTGTCTCGGGAACAGCGGTCACTAATCACCAATGCAAAAATGTGGTTTTCTCAACGTCCGCAAAAGGCATTAACAATGGCTTTTATTGTAAACATCAGGGCACAATTTCATAGCACCGCTTAACAGTAAGCAGAAAAGTTGTCCCTGCTTTAGCAGAAAATCATGCTGCTGCTTAAGCACTATTTCATACTAACGGCTGCGCGCGCATGGAGATTTATATTGTTACGTCACTGATTTAAGCAAAGTTTTCTTCCGTGGTTAAGCGTGCTTTTGCTGTACTGACTGCTTAACGGTTTCTATGAAATAGATGGAGGCTCGGTAAGCACAAAGTCGGCTGTTAAGCAGCGCTATTAAATTGGGCCCTGGATGATCACAGGCTGTGAGTTGACCGTTTGGCCTATACTTAGGTTTTACAAATTATACACCATGAGTAGAAATGTACCAGACTTTTTTACGATGGTTTCGCACACTCGCTCAACTCACCACTCTTACCTAAACACCTTGAATCCGATCATTCAAAGTGACGTTACAATTGAATTTGAAATCTCCGTCGGTACCAGACTATACCACAGAGGTTTACGTGCACTTTGTGTTGAAAGGAAAAACAAATAAGAGGCGAGTTGGCTTAAGTAATTCTTTATGTTGCCCTAGATGAGTGATGGTACCAAAGGACCTTGGGTCTTGTGTGGGCACCAGACAGTCTACACCGAGGGTTACGCGTACTCTTTGATAAAAGAGTACCAAGCCGATTTGAATTTTTTATGTTGGCTTTGCGCTTCGTTCTAATGTAATATGAAAATGTTAATGGCTGTACCTCCTTTCATTTCCCCCGCAGTTACTGCATTATAAATGAAAGCTCTTCACATTGTGATCCTATTTCCAACACACAAAACAAAACGCGACCAGAATGGCCTCGCCATTGTACCGTTTTCAGGAAACAAATAAAATGGTGGATTGAGTTGCCCAATTTTTAGATTTTAAATTCCATTGGCACCGTTGTTTTGTTTTGTTTTACTTTAAAATTTATTGAAAATTGTTAAATCTGCGTTATTGCATCATGGGAGTTTTGATATCTTAATTGTTTAATACAACTTATCTTTAGGAAAAAAACTACATCCACGAATGTTGTTTTGGTTGTTTTTGTTCTCGGGTATTGTTGACACCAAACACCGCCGAGAGTTACCAGCTGGGGGCTCTACATGATGTCTACTAACACATCACATTTCTCAGTAAGTTTCTGTTTTAGCATAGTGTAGACTTCTTGATGTTCAAAGACTGAATTCCATCGTCAGTGGTGCCAATGCTTTTTTTTCAATCAAAATCCATGAAGAAAATGTATTTCACCTTTCAAAGATGGTTTCGCGCACTGACTAATGAGTGCGCGAAACCATCGTAAAAAAATGTACATATTACCAAAGGACCGTGAAACCAATCATTAAAAGTGAATTTAAAATTGATATCTTTGTCTGTACTAGACTGTGCCTAATAGGGGTTTCCGTGCACTTTGCTGTTAAAGGTAGATTTAAGGGGCGAGTTGGTTTTAGTTACATTGTATGTTTTATCAGATGTAGTGACGGTAATACCAAAGGTTTTTTAAAAAGTTCATGACTACGTTTTTAGTGAATGTGGCTTTGGTTTGAATACTGGTGCATGTTATTCACCAATTTGTTGTATATTTCACAAATTCATATGATATTGATTAATCAATTTTTTTTAACGTGAAGATTGCGGTTTACCGCAGTACAAATGTATGCTCGTATCTTTTAATGGAGACAGCATGTCATCATTGCTCAATGTTATCAATGTTATCAATTGCTACGTGTGTACAGATTTATCAGAATACCTAGGCTTTAGGGTAAGTCGTTAGAGCCAGTCGTGTTTTGTTCGACGAGGCCCCAAATGTTTACTAGCACGGCGCTCGCTAGTGCTGTATATGTGATTACATTACCATTGCAGTATTTTTGTTCTACAGTTTTTTTTATCATTGCATGTTACGTAGTGTTGAAATCGAGTCCTCAAATCCGAGTACAGAGTACTCCGAGTACTTTAGAGACCGAGTCACGGGCCGAGGTTAAGTACACTGTAATTTCCCTAGGCAACGGACAATACCTGTGCTTAAAATGTGCTCACCAAACACTGCATGTGCAGACGGACGAGGATTTTGCTTGGGAAAATCCCGAAAATTGCCTCACTGGTAACCGTGATGTGGCGAGCTGACATAAGAAGCATGGTCTTGGCTGGCTCCACATTTGCGAATCATCACTGTTACGACTTCGAATGTTAGTAGTAATTTGGGAGGCGGGAACTAGACTTGGCCGTAATACCTACTGCAACTGCGCTACCGCGCTAGCGTTGCGTTCCAGGTTGAGCTATGGAATGGATTTACAAGTAATGTACTCCAGTTTTACTCCCTAATACATGAGTCCAGTACCAAACACTAAACCATCAAGGCCGGGCAAAATTCGAGTACAAAGAATCGAGTACGGGCCAAGTTCAGTTTTTTTTTTCGAGCACTAATAGTCGAGTTCGGGCCGAGTACTTGCGTGTACTCGAGTTGTACTCGAGTAAGAAAGAGTACGGGTACGAGTATTCAAACACTGATATTACGCTGTTTATTGTGCTTTTATCGTAAATCTTAAATACAATGTAGAACGTTTCCATACAGTATTCTATATAAATACATTTACGAATTGTTAAAGGTGATACTTCACAGACAAAAAAAAAGAAGGTCGCAGTGGCTAGTTGCAAAACCATCTCGAGAATTCAATTATTTTTAGTGATCAAACTTTTTGAGTAAAATCCGGTTTATACTTTACAGGTTTGCGATTGCAAAGCGCATTTGACGTCGGGAAAGCGTTCGCTGCGAAATGTGTTGGTGTTAAAAGGTGTTAAACTTATTGCTGCCGTAATGTAAAATTTGTATTGAAATTTGTATTTGTTGTGTTCGATATGGAAAACATTTAAATGCAAACTCGTGTATACATTGATGTGTAACAGTAAAAGTAAATTAGTATGGTGTTGGACAATCATTTTTCAATTATATCATTGCCACGCATAATTGCTAGAATGTATAGGACCTCAAAATACCCTAATTGCTATCATAACTATCCGGATCAAATAGAGTGGAGGGTCAATTTGTGTTGATAAGAAGAAAACAACATGAATATGACTACTTGTTAATAGTGTGATGTTCATTTGATGCCGAGCTGCCATAACAAGAAGCTAAGAGGAAGCAATCTTTATCTCATTGAAGCACATACTTACCAATATGGTTCAATTATAATTCAAATGCTTGTAACGCTCTATGAATATGTACATGTTGGTGAAATAAAACATAATCCACAAAGAAAACATGCACTCGTTTAATTTTTAAATGATCAGTTGATGTGCTATGCGTATTAAAGACGAGATGGGTGAGACGACTTGCTGCTTGTCCAAATTTGATTGCAATTATAAAATACATAAAAAATAGAGAGAAAAAATAATCCCAATTTGTTCGATTCAGGCTCGTTTGTGATTGGGTAGACTTGCTATGACGTCAGCCTGTTCGTGGTCTGCGGCTGCTCAGCTGCTCAGGCGAGCGAGTGGCGTTTTTACTCGGTGATATATACGACCAACACTACCGGAGTTTCGATCATTGCGTCAATCAGGTTTGGTCTTAGTGGTGAGGCTCTTTCCTGATCGTCGTTCAGTAATCTACGTCGTTCATTGCATTAATCAGAGAGAGGTTCCAGTAAAGTGTTAAGTCGAGGCTCTTTTTCCATTGTTGTTCAGTAGTCTACGCGCGTAGTTACCTTTTTTATAATTTGCGTTGGTGTGTGAGTCGATAAATACATCCCAGCGGATTGTGCTAAGAATTCACCTGCATCTTGGACAATGGACGGAGCAGCAGCTTTGGTTCTGATGTTGTCAGCAATGGCAGGTAAGATTTAATAATCTATCACCTTGAGTACGTCGATCCTCCGACTGCCAATATCAGACAAGCTTAGCTAGATCAGGATCGGGGATACAATGTGCATCTCTCCCATTTATTTTACAACATGAAACCCCAAGTTGCAATAGTCGTTCGCCATTGAATTAGGGGACTTGTGTTTCGGTTTGACAAGAAATAATTTGTGTACAGTTTTGATCACCGTCACAACCGATTAAACAAAACGTTATTTTGATAAATTAATCGGCCTATTGAAACAGAAAGATTTCAAAACAAAACGGCGGCCGCTACATATAGTCCGTGGGACGAGAGGCCGAAAACGCTTTAGTTTTCGAGATACGTGATCTGGTCCACCGAATTTTATAAAACTTTCCAGACATGTAGATTATGATGTATCATATCTAAAAAAACGTCGTTCCCCGATCTACAGTTTGTTGGGGATCGGAATGAGAAAATCTTGGATAAAAACACCGAAATTTCTGCATGAGAAAAAAAATAAACAGCGCCCTCTTTAGACACAAATAGAAACCTTTTCGCACGCAATGAGTGCTTGCCAGATAATACTTGAAGTTTATTTTATCAGGATGCCGTACCCTTTTCCAGTTTGTCCAACGTGAAATTATCAAGTTTTAAGATCGAATGTGATGTATTTTTAGCTACATAAAAACTGATTGGTATAGTAAGTGCTAAACTGTAGCCCAGATGAGAACCTCAGGGTAACATCTTTCCGTTCTGCTCCAACATTTTTTTTTTTGGGGGGGGAGGAGATTTGTTGTAAAGAAAAGTGGCTATAAATTAACTTTTTTAACAGATTTCCCCCCCCCCCTTATCCATTGCAGTGACGCAGAATTTTAAAAAGGATTTTTATACATGGATCAGATAAGTTGAAGTCGTAGGTCTACGCGTCTTATTACAAAACCATTCAAAAATGACTATCAAATTCTTTTACATGTACTTAGGTTGATTTTATTTTCGATTACACTTAAAAAAAGACTCATAAAAATAAAAACGGCAATAACTGCAAATAACATTTTTTTATGTTCCAGGCACAATGTGGTTTAAGTAATCACCAAAAGAAATGCAAGAAGTTATTTATTTAATATAATCTAATTTTAGTTCATTTATTTATTTATTTATTCATTAGAAGAGGGGGAGGGGGGCAATTTTAACCTGCACAGTTTTTACACACAAGGAGAATGGTATTTAGATGAAATTTTGTTCATTTTTGTTCATAAGTTTGTTCAGTCTGTACTGAATAAGCATTACTCGTTTATTTTCAACTGACAAAACGATTATGAGCACCTGTATGGCATAGGCCGATTACATCATGTTGTATAACATGTCAAAGTCTCATCAAATTGAAGGACCCACTATCTGTTTGCAAACTTTCAAAATTTGCAAAACAAAATCAATCCCCTATTTGGAAGCTTTGAGTGGCAGCATTACAACTGCAATTTGTTTCAGCTGAAACCGTCTTACCATTTTTATTATTTTTAATAATTATTGTTTTCAGAACCGATTCATGTTTTTGTTGTTGCTCCATCCATTCCGTGAAAACCACCAATAACCCCCCACGGCCTACCCGCTTCCTTTGAGGCTGCATCAAATGTTTATTACTTTCTTTTAAATTTCAGGCATAACTTTTTTAAAAGATGTTTCAGCAATTCAGATGCTCCACTGCACCCGATGCCACGCCGATGCCATGCCAATTATATCATTGTCAAAAACATGTTCCCCTGAGATAAGAGTTCACAAAGTTATTCTGATCTGGGGTTTAACCATACCAATTGATATTTATGTAGCTGATACTTAACATTCAATCTGAAATTTAAATTTAATGTTGGAAAATCCCGTAACGAAATAATTTTGGCATCCCGATGAGAATTAACAAAAATGGGTCTTGTTTTTGACACGGCCGGTATATCATTCTGGCTAACCCCGACGGAAAGGTGATGTGAGATCCTTTTCCGAATGCAGTTTTCGTGGCTCTCGCCGTTCGAGCGCGAGAACAATTCAAATATTCGCATCATAACGTCAAAAACAGACCGCCTGAACTATCTGACTATGTCAATAGAGGGCGCTGTTTCTTATTTTTTTTCTCATGCAGAATATTGGCGTTTTTATCCCAGATTTTCTCATTCTCAAAACAAACTGCGGATCGGGGAACAACGTTTTTTTCGATAGGATACACCAACATCTTTTATGTCTGCGAAGTTTTATAAAATTAGGAGAACCGGACCGCGTGGCGAGCGAAAAAAATTGCCTCGTCCAACGGACTAATATATTACCAGTTTGTGACCACCGAAATGGAAAATAAAACTAGTAACATTCACATGTATAATGGATTTTAGTGTTAGGTGCAGTTTTATTTACCTTATCAAGATTGACCCTGTCAAGTCGCTTCGGGTTAGCGGAAGTATTGCGTCCTCATCCTTATTTTCAAGTACGTCAACCAATTTTTCTGCTCTAAAATTGAGAAATATGTTGGTTAGCCAATAATCCAAAATTTAACGACGGTGACTCCAAAAGAGAAAGTCATTACATTTTCGATAAATATTCATAACTTCGACATTTTCGTTCAAATTATTTAAAATTCGGTAAAAAACTTTTGCAAGGTCGATTGTGGTAACGGAAAATCTCAACGGAAAAGGATTTTCTACTTTTCTACTTTTTTTGCTAACAAAAAAGCAATTTGAATGTTTCGTAAAAATGTTTTCTGACAAAAGCTTGATCTGCTTTTCTTGTAGCTGAAAAGCAGATGTCTACTTTTGAATTTGCACCACCTGACAACCGCCAGTGAAGGACTAAAGCAAAGCCTGCTTTTCTGGTAGCAGAATATCAGAAAGGTAGACAAATGCTTTTTAGGAAAAAGTTCAATCTGCAAAATATTCTGGTAGCAGAAAATCAGAAAACTAGAAAAAAAACCCGCATTTTAGCAAAACGTTCAATCAGCTTTTCTGCTACTCTGTTAGCAGAACAGCAGATGTCCACTTTTTAACCTCCATAGATCAATACACCTTATTCGCGTGTCGGCCATATTACATTCAAAACGAGGTAAATTCTTCATTTTTGGAAATTGAGAGTAGAAATGAAAGATTCATTCCAAATTGCTCTGATTAATAATTTAAAAAAATTGATTAAACATACCTTTATGATGGTTTAAGCTACCTTTAAAATAGATAACGTGCTTATAGTTTGATATTTCTTTAAGGAAACATTGACCAATGTTGAGCTTGAATCTTCAAGTTAGGGACCCAAATAGTGGGCGAAGCCGAAATGGAGACGAAACCGAGTTTTGGATTACACCTACAGGTGAACGTCGTCAGATTCTAAAAAGAAAATGACGCAAGAAAGTTTGCCCCTCGCACTATCTAATTGCAAAAATCGTCGTTGAATTTCAAGTGTTTTTTTTTTAATGCAAGCAATGAATATTAATTGTCAAATCATCTTACAAAAAATTCAATAAGCATGCGTGCCTTGGTCAATATGTTAGCCTCTGTCGTTCGTCACTATCCGTCCGTTCGGTATTTCAATTTCAATTTCAATTTCAATTTCAATTTTAATTTCAATTTCAATTTCAATTTCAATTTATTATACTCGTCACGTAAAACAAAAACATGAACATTGATTTCCAGTGTGCATTATACATGTACAATAAGACCACGGGTATTTGGCGGCATATCCTCGCTATGCAGTGCATAATAATGTCTGTAATATGAGACACACAACATGTGTGGGTGTGTTTGTGTGTGTGTGCATTATGTATATGAGATGTCACACGTTATCGCTATAATTATGACCTTTCACTGCGAGCTTACTATTATACAAGTTTCCATGACACGCAACTATCGACCAAAAGAAAACGACGTTTAATGTCAGCTTAGTATGGTGGCTTTAAAGGGACATCGCACATAAATATTGACGCCAATATTTGCGACATGGAGGCCTTGTCGTGAATATTGGCGTCAATATTGGCGTCAATATTTGCGACTTGGAGCCCATGTCGTGAATATTGGCGTCAATATTGGCGTCATATTTGCGACTTGGAGCCCATGTCGTGAATATTGGCGTCAATATTGGCGTCATATTTGCGACATGGAGGCCTTGTCGTGAATATTGGCGTCAATATTTGCGACTTGGAGACCATGTCGTGAATATTGGCGTCAACATTGGCGTCAATATTTGTGACTTGGGTCCATGTCGTGAATATTGGCGTCAATTTTGGCGTCAATATTTGCGACTTGGGTCTATGTCGTGAATATTGGCGTCAATATTGGCGTCAATATTTGCGACATGGAGGCCATGTCATGAATATTGGCGTCAATATTGGGGTCAATATTTATATGCGATGTCCCTTTACAGCCACTATAGCTTATGCTGTAAAACCACCCTACAAGCCTCACATGGACGATTGGACCAAGGCTTTAGTCTAGCTCCAATTGATTTGCATACAAATAGTGGCTGCGTAAGGTAGCTGTTCCTGCAGTATTGTTACATTCATTGCTGCGCACGGCGAGGATATGCCGCCGAATACCGTACCGTCGAATAATGACGAACGCCGTGACTAAGATTACAAGCATGCCAGATAAGTTAAACATATTTAATACCCGCGTGGTGGCTACCTCACCCAAGATAATCAGAAATAGTCAGAATCTTTTGGTCTGGGAAACCGGAACCAGATTAAGCGGGCGGGGGGGGGGGGTGTTCACCATATGACTGTCACCATACGACAAACGAGGGCGCTCTTTCATTTGTATTCATGTATGTGCATTTACGAACAAAGAAATGACTCCACAAGGATTCAAATTCCAGTATGCGTGTGCGTATTTATGTATGTACGCAGACATACATAGATACGGACATTTTTATTCGTCCGTTATAATTCGCGATTTCAATGAAAACGGTGGTGCAATATCAATATCTTTCAGCTGTCGATGTAATGTAATGATGTAATGATTGTAAACTACATTGCATATGTAGTTATATTAGGTTAAAATATTGATGGACTGAGACAAATGAAGACAAAACAACGCCGTTGGAGTCCCCTGCCAAAGACATTCAACGGGGGGGGGGGGGGGGGGGGACCCGGATCAAAGGCGACCCATGTCGTGCAGTAGGCTTACACCTGAAACATACATTGTTTCCTTCTGATTGTCGTGTACTTGTGAAAACACAAGTTGATATTAGTTACCCACTTGTTTTATAGAGCGACCATCATGGCATTGTTGGCTTGTATCTATGTTTTTATTACATTAATTCCGAAGTGCTGTTGGTTGGTGTGGAGAGCCAGCAGAGGGTGTGTTACTCCGGTCCCCCACCGGAACCTGATCCTGATAATCCGGATGACTGGATGAAGCAAGTCATGCGAGAGATACGGAAGCGTTGCCCAGGAAGGAGGCAACCTACCCCAGCTGGTAAGTCATCCTATGATCAACCATACCTTAGGTATGACTAACAAGCATGTGGATTTGTTCTATCACAAGGTTATGCATTATACTGAGATAAAAACTTTTTGTTTACCGAATATCAAGGTTCATCGAAGATTGCAAATGACATTAAACACCTGCTAATATGAGATATGTCTCATGTTTGCTTTTTGCCTCAAAAATGTTGCACAACTCCTTGCAACTCGAAAAAAAAAAAGAATTCACTGTGTAACTCCCTAGACTTGGTGCCAAGTCGGTAATTGTTTTGCGTACGGTAACCGGTTACTGGCTTCACGCACGCAAAATATCGCTGCAATGCGCATAGTCTGGTTCCCAGACCAAATGATGCTTACTCTTTCTGATAAATTGCCGACTTTGAGAAAAAGTTTTCGATTTTGTACACAACTTATGGGAGTATTTTGAATCGCTTGCGAATTCTATTCGAGCACTCTGATTGGTTCAGATTCCAGAGTGTATTCTAGGGCATACTCGGCTCAAATAAATCAATTAAGCCTATATCACAATGATACATTTTTTTCTATACACAAAGCTGAGTGTATTGGTCGTTAAAATGTCGCCAGATCTGCAAACATGTCCCTGACGTATTTAGAATAACTCCCCATGTAACGGAATGAATGAGTCATCATTTGCATAGCGGTGCGCGATTGGATCTCACCGCAAAAATGCACTGCATATGTATTGCGCTGCTTGCATATTATGAATAACGGTGCGAGAACGCAATCTTCAAGTCGCTATAGATTTGTCACAACCCGGCCGATTACGTACTAGTCTTATACCAGCCGCGCCGATGGAGTTTGACTGAAGTTCAAGGACAAAATACGACCATCTAACGACTTGTCATCAAGTCTAGCAACTCCGCAGAGTAAAAAAAAGGGAAAAAAAGAGGGCGGAGCTTGATCGGTTAAAAAGGGGAGTACAAACAAATAAAAACTGTATTTAACATCCATTTTCCGGTGTTCTTCCAACCTTGAAATAAACATAGACTTATTACAAAAAATCCCAACATTCTCACACTTGTTATTTTTACCCTTTTTAAGCGTGGCCTAAATATGTAAAGAGGCGGTACATTAGAGGAGCTTGATTCAAACAAGGGAAAATCATCACTTTTGCTGGTGAAAACACAACTTCTGCATTGGTTAATTGTGTTTTACACAGTAAATATAAATTTAAAAGGTTGCAAGGATTTTGCCCTTTTAGGTGTGGAGCTACATTTTAAAGTAGGGGGTTGAATATTCCAGAAGATTAAAAATTTCATATCTAAATTAGTGTGATTGGCTACAAGCAACACAGGTTACAGGAGCGGCATTTCCTTGTATTGTAAACACTGCCGGGATCACGGGGGGGGGGGGGGATGTCAGGGCGGCCCAACGGTGGACTTCACCTATTCTTGAAAGTGCTTTTCTAACATGGATATATGGGCGTGTAAACATGAAAATGTTGAAAATATGCGCAGAGTATACGTCAATTCCTTGCAGTGTGTACTGCTGGATTTATATCATATGGATGTTTGGACTTTGGATGTTTGAAAAGGTGGGATTAATAATTTTGAGAAATTATGTAGCTTCTTAGAAAGTGTGCTTGCACTTTGATAAATAATCGGGAGGAATTGCAGCGGACGTCCCCCTCCCAAAATATAAAAACTACACGAATGTATAAATGTATGTATTGAAATCATAGTCTGTTTACGTCACAGCAACAATGCAGCTGATAACATTATTTGTGTCATTATTTGTGCCACGAACACTGTCACTTAATGCGAATTAATACAAGTGATCTGCGGATCGCATGTGTCGCCTATATATTTTGTGTTCTTAAAAAAAATTTCTTGAAATTTCGTGCATTTGTAAACGACCACAAATGACCCCTAGATGACTTTTGACCTCCAATTTTGGAAGAGTTGTGATGAACCCCCACCCATGGATCACTCCATACACTTTCCAAGTGACATTAAAATCCATCAAAGAAAGATTTGAAACATATTTGAACAATGACCTCTAATGAGTCCTAGATGACCTTTGACCTCAGTAATTCCATGAAGAATTGTGTTTTCTCATGCACCCAAGGGTCACAGCATCTACGTTTCATCAAAATCCATGCAAGCATGTAGAAATGTTGTAAGCTTTCCCCAAAAACTGTGAATTACATCATTATTGACCTCAGTTGACCGTTGACCTATGACCTTTGACTTGAAATATATCCCACATATCTTTGCTACCCAATGACCATTGTGTCCAAGTTTTGTGGAATTTTGGCGAATATTTAGGAAATGAGAGAAATTCCAAAACTTTAACATACATACGGGGATACAAGGGTCTAAGAGTCTACGGGTCTAATCATTTTCTAATTCTCCCTATGACAACTTCCGGTTTGATGACGTCACAATCCTAAAACCTTACAAAGTCATAATTTTACTTTTTTCCATAAAATATCCAAGGGTAAGTTTGGTGAATTTTGATGAATGGTTTTTAAATTAAAAATAGTCCAACTTTCTTGGACGTGCCGCGGGGGGGGGGGGGGGGAGGGCTCTTTCAGGCGATGACATAACCATACATTTTTTGTCAGCCCCGTATTAAAGTAAAGGTTAAGTGACTTCACGTACTTGACAAAATATTGTTTGTCAATTAATGGTCTATCTGATTACAAAATATCAACATGAGTTTCATTTTGTTCAAGGCTTCGTTCAACCGATGGCCACTTTTGAAGATGTTGGATCAGGGTTGATCTTTGTTCAAAGTTTCATGTTTATACAAGATACTGTTTAGAAGAAAAGACGCCGAGCATCATCTAGAAAAACAAAAGGAAACAAAGGGCAAAAGAATAATTGTAACCATTTCAAAATTGTGATCGGGTTGTACCCATAGAGCTATATAAAATCACCAGAGCGCTAACTCCTCACTTTTATTCGCAGAAAAGCCTTGAAGCCTTTCTGGGCGCAGCCGTTTTGAATTCACGTGGGTGTTTTTAAAACAAAATGAAATTAGATTTGCGAATGTGCACTCTAAATGTGGTTTCTACCAAAATGACATCATATAAAGTACTGGCCAACCAACAATTGTGCCGAATTTTAGGAAAATCACGCAAAATTATAAGAATTACAATGGGGGAGGGAGGGGGAACAGCAGTTCGGTCTTTAGCAGATCCAAAACACCCCAGTCCTGATAGTGATAGAGTTAACTTTCAATAGACTGTAGTCCTATCAATGAAGAGAGAATCCACAGCCATTGACTCTTAGCAATTGCTTCAATATATACACATAGGGCAAAAAAAAATAGTTCTGCTTCCGGTTACCCCGCCTACCCTATTTTGACAGCTCCTTCCCTAATTTTGTTTTGGGAACATGAAAAAATAACCCCAAAACCATCAAGTAACACCTTTTACCATTGACTACACGCAGACACCTACATATCGTCACCGTTTTGACGAAGTGACACATCCGTCCAAAACCGAGATTTTCTGAAATCTGAGATTTTTGAATATTCCAACATTTTATGATGTCCTCTACATGATTACCAAATTTCGAGACACAACATTCCATCGTTCGTTAATTACGCTAATTACGCTAATTACACAAAGTGTTGAAAGTGCTACACACTAAGTTTTTCGTTTTGACGAAGTGACGGATCTCTATGTGTCACTTAGTCTCATTGATTTTACACGTGTGCTATATTTAGAAATATGAAGCCTCCACGATTTGCGTTTTGACGAAGTGACGCATCTGCGTTCTAAAATGTTTCAATCTTATATACGCGCACGCGCTGTGTACAAACACATGCCTCCGTTTTTTCCGATTCCAGATTTTCCGTTTTGACGAAGGACGGATATCTTTAGTAATTAATATTTTCTAATTAAACACGATTTTATGAACAGAGAGAATTGTTTTTGGCTATTTAACTCCAGGGCTATTGCCTCAGTTATATATTTTTCAATTCTAGGGAGAAATGTACACAAAAAATGCAAATTGAAAAATCCACCAACTTCAAACGCAATTTTCTCAAAACTCTGTTTTTGCATCTGTGTGCACAGATGTGTCACTTCGTCAAAACGGAAGCAGAACTATTTTTGGGCCTAGGATGTATGTACCAGTACATCTAAGGACATGAAACAACTTTGAGTGAGTTTACCCAGTAGAATGATCTTTCTATGCGAATATTCAGCCCTCTACTTTAAAATGTAGCTCCACCCCTAAAAGGGCAAAATCCTTGCAACCTTTTAAACTTATCTTTACAGTGTATGGCAAACATATTTAACCAATGCACAATTTGTGTTTTACCAGCAAAAGTGATGATTTCCCTCGTTTGAATAAAGCTGCTCTAATGTGCGGCCTCCTTTTCATATTTAGGCCACGCCCACAAAAGGGTAAAAATAACAAGTGTGAGAATGTTGGGATTTTTTTTATCATGACTCTGTTTATTTAAAAGCTTGAAGAACAAAGGAAAAGGGATGTTAAATACAGTTTTTCTAAATTTTTATTTGTTTGCACTCCCCTTTTTAACCGATCAAGCTGCGCCCCCAAAAATGGGCAAGATCCAAGATGGGTCCACCTCTAAAAATTATTTCAACTAAACATGCCAATTTTCAGGATTTTACCACAAACTGAACGATATTCTTCATATATATTTGAACCAAACTGCTAATATACTTTGTTTATCGCCTCTTTTACACATTTAGGCCACGCCCACAAAATGGGTGGAAAATAACAGGTGTTAACAAGCTAGAATGTCTTATTTTATGTTGAAGCTAACTTCAACGCATAGAAAAAAACAAGGGAAATGGATGTTAAATACAGTTTTTATGAGTTTTTATTGTTTGCACCCCCTTTTTAAAAAAATCAAGCTCCGCCCCCAAAATGGGCAAAATCCAAGATGGGTCCCGATCTTAAAATGATTTCTAGCCCATTTTGACCCAACATTCCAAATTTCATGCTTTTACCACAAAGTGCACGATTTGGGGCAAAAATTAACCTAAGCAGCAGCTCCACTATGAAAGTTATGTAAAGTTTACTTAACTGTCTTTTACCTAATAAATGTGTAAGTAAACTTTTACACAACTGTCAAGAAAACTTTTACCCAACACGCATTATGTAACTTTTTACACAATTGCAAGCGAGTTCGTATAGTACATATAAAACATGGTTACACAACTTGTGTAATTTTTCTTAGAGTGCAGCAGTTACAGAGAAACCTACCCCAGATCGGGTACTGGGAAACCTACTCCAACTGGTACGGAGTTAACCCCATCCCCCCCCCCCCCCTCTTATCTGACACGGAGAAACATACCCCAGCTTTAAGTCGTCCTTTGATCCCCCATATCGAATGTTTGGCAAAATAGCAAGTGCATTTGTTCCATCACAAGGTCATACGTGTATTGCATTGAGATTGAACATTTTATTTTTACCGAATATCAAGGTTCATCGAAGGCTGCTTACTCAACTCCTCTCAATTAAAAGAAAATACATTCAACAACGATAAACAACGAACAAATCCATTGGTGCATGTTCATGCTAAAAGTATTTCTCTCAAATCGAGGGAGCGGGAGGCTTTTTTTATATTTACAATCACGAGGCCTAACTATCAATACGATTTTTGTAATGTAAAACGTGCACTTATAATTATGCGCTTTACCAAAAAACAAAGTTGAGGATCAAATTATCTTTCTTTCAATATCAGTTTTTTTTTTCAATATATGTATCAATATGAATACATATTTCATTTGCTTCTCATTTGTTACGAACAGAGTGTTTGCAACCCCTTGGAATGGCGGACGGGACAATCCAGGATAATCGCATCACGGCGTCCAGTAGTCGCCACTGTTGCCCTGCCAGTGATGGACGCCTCTACAGTAACAACAAATGGCTAACCTCGATGTAGGTATAAAAGGAGAATACCACGCCTGACACTTCACTCTCATATCTTTATACACTCTGTATCATTAAAATGCCAAAAAGCGCTCCTTAATGTGTTGATTAATGAATATAGAATTGCATCCATTCCACAACAGGATTTGCAGGGTATTGTTACGGCATTGTTCCTTATTCTCTCTTCACTCTGTGTGCATAGCTCCAACGATCCCTGGATCGAGGTGGACCTCGTGCAGAGTACAGTGGTGACTGGAGTCACCACACAAGGCAGCGGCTCCAGTTCGTACGTGATGCGGTACAAGGTGGCGTATCGGCAGCAGCCCTCATCCCAACGCAAACACGTAACAGATGGAAACGGAGACATCAAGGTAAACATCAATCTTTACTAAGTCTAAATTTAACTTTGTAGGTAAAACTGTTTTGAAAAAAAAAATGTAAACGTATTTTTTGTGATATTTTCTTTGGGCTTTTTTTTTTACAATATGCAGTATTATTTAAAAACGTATTAATGGAACCAAAAATAATTTCAGATCATGCAACCAAGAAAAGATTGATGCTGCATTCTCTCATATACAGATTATTGAAGAGAAAATAGTTTTCCCCTCACCCAAAAGCAAAATGCCCTGAAGCTCAAATAGGAACCCAAATGAGCCTATTCAAGAGATGTCTATATGGCTGAAATGATCTTAAAAGTGGGTCCCAACCCAGGACAAACAGTTTAATTTATATACTTATTATGGTTTGTTGAAATTCTGGTTTGAAGGAAGATCCCGTCAACGAAGAATGCCCACTTTTTGTAGTTCTGGTTCTAGACTACTAAAAGTAGACTATTTTGCTACAAATGTGCGTTTATTGCGTTGGCATTCATTTCAGGTGTTCATCGGTAACACCGATATCGACACCCCGGTCACCAACCTGTTTGATGAATGTGTGGTGGCCACGGTAGTACGCATTGAGCCTACTGAAAGCCATGGTGGTGCTGCCCTGCGATTGGAGCTGCTTGGATGTCGCCGTGATTAATTTAGCTGAAGCACTCACGCGATTCTCTCCGACAGCGCTGACAAACTTTCACAACTTTCAATCTATATAAAAGTAAATGCGACGGTAGATATGATTAAAGTTGATAATAAATACTATGCTTGGTAGGAGGAATATTTATCACAAAAAAAGAATGTACCGAAGATTTAGAATAATCACTACTGACTCTTATGAGTTGTTGTGTCTTTAACTTAAAAAGTATCTGCCGGGAAAAAAATACAGATTTTACCGGCTATTTTAAAAAGTTTGTCATTCGAATTTACTGTTTATAATATTCAAATTGGTTAATCAACATCGATTTAGTTTAATTTTGTTTAATTCTATTTTTAATTTCTTCTTTTTGTCAGACGATTAAAGATCTTAAAGATCGCAGTTTCAGTATCATAATCACCAAATCGGATCGCGACGCTCCGTTAAATTGTATCTGTACCGCCTAGGGTGTATTTATGCATGTAGTCTATGGGCAAATGACTCTTTAGGCTTCCCGTCCATTGTTACGAAGTCGTTGGATTTAATATTTCATATTTTAATTCCTTCTGACTAGTTCGGCGTATCCTATCAACACAGCCTTGAACATCGAAGGCACAATATCTTAACTGCAATATCTTTAATATTACAGCCTTCTCGGTACGTATCGTTTTCTAAAGGTTCATTGTATGTACGGTTGCGTAATTATCTAGACAACCTTGATTGCTGCTGCAGTGGCGGATTGCTGCTGCAGTGGCGGGGGGTGGAGAAAATAAACAGTCTACATTCCAGCACACCCTCCCTGAAATTTGTTTTGGATCAACCCTGCTAGCCCCCCCCCCCTTCCAAAAAAAAATGTTGACTCTAGAAGCACGCCTGTGCTGCTGAGGATTCTGCTGAGGATTTTATTACCGGAAGCCGCTTCCGCTCGCACGCGGTGCCGCACCGTTTCATATCGACTCGTGAATGTTTATGGCTGCGATGGTCGTCATTGTTCATTTCAAGATGGTCCTTTTTCTCCACAAGCTATTTTGTGAAAATCGGCAACTGTAATTACAAGAAGGATACCAATTGGCTGTTACATTACCCGCTTTCAACATTAGCTCCACCTGTACTGTTAAGAGTGAACAAAGCAGAGACGTTTCTGCGTTTCTGCTCGTTCGTGATTGGCTAGACTTGGCTATGACGTTAGTCTGTCTGCGGCTGCTTCGCAGCTGAGGGAGCGAGTGGCGTTTTGTACTCAGTGATATACGATCAACACTAACGGAGTCTCGAGCATTGCGTCAATCGCGATTGGTCTTACTGGTCAGGCTCTTTCCTGATCGCCGTTCAATGCTGGTAGCTACAGTCAACCAAAAAAAGATAGTCCCCCTTCCAATACTTTGTTGTCTAACTCAAAAACTACAGAGCACCTCTCGCTCAAATAACGATTTATCAGTAAAGAAATTCCTTAGCCCTTAGCAATCCAGCCATACACTTTATTTGGCCCAAAACGGTGATAATGTGTACGAATTATGCAATTTATAACAAATAATACCGAAAGCAGTTGCACTTTTGTATATGTTGCGGTTCACACTCACCTTGCATGTATACAAAAGTGCAACTTTTTTCGGTACCACTTGTCATAAATTGCATCATGTTTTTTTTATACACATTATCACTGTTTTAATAATAATAATAATAATAATAATAATAATTTGGAGGCTAATCATCCTTACTCGCAGCTGGGATGCTGAATTGCGAAGGACGCGGCTACAACGTGGTCGGGCCGCTGGCACGTAAAGGCGCCTCTGGCTGCCGGCCACATCGACCCATATAAGACCACGGAGCACAGCCTGAGATCGAAAGTGTTTGATTTTTCCGGAGGGAGGAAAACCAGAGGGCCCGGAGAAAAACCCTCGTGGCACAGGAGAAAACCAACGCACAACTCTACTCACATGCGATCCGCGGCCAGGATTCGAACCGTGGTCACCTTGGTGAGAGGCGAGCGCTTTACGCACAAGCCACCCGTGTATGGCTCAATTGCCGATGAATTTCGGTACTGATCAGTCGTTATTTGAGCAAGATGTGCCCAGTAGTTTTTGAGTTAGACAAAAGAGTATAAAGGGGGACTTTCTGTTTTGGTTAAGTGTAGCTGCATAGCATTTGTGTGTCGTTCATTACGCTAATCAGAACAAGTTTCCAGTAGGATTTTAAGTTGAGGCTCTCTCACAATTGTTGTTGATTAAATCGTAGCGGATTAAATCGTGCTCAAAATTCATCCGCATCTTGTAGAGTGGACTGAGCGGCATCCAGGGTTCTGATTCTGCAGGCAGTGACAGGTATAATATTGAATCTGTATCACCTCTGGCACGTCTGTAAATCCCCGACTGTTTTTCTTTTTTTTTTTTTTTTTTGCCGAAAGCGGTCAAGCTTAGCCATAACAAAATTGGGGACAAAATGTGCACTGCATCCCACCCATTCATGATATCATATAATCACCAGGGTGATTAAAAAAAACAAATGCCGGGACGATTGTTTCGGTAAAGTTCTGCATTTAGCCCTTCCACAATCTAGGATATGAAAACCCAATTCATAAGGTTCATTTTAGTATAAGAATCAATCAAATCACTCATGTCATTTTCTCAAGTTAGGCACACTATACAAATTCCTATCGGTTGAGTATGGGGTGAGACAATCCGACACCTTCATATCCGAGCGAGAACGACACGGTAGCTTTTCACTGGGGCTATCGGATTGCTATCGGGTGCGATAAGGAGACTGGGTTTTGGTGGTCTGGAGTAGTTTATTTACGCAAGGATTAAAAAGAAAGAGCGGGTGGCCGTGCCGAGGGACCGACACCTGACAGCATGTGGTAAAGATAAGCATGGTTTGCCGTTATCCAGTCACCAAAATAGAAAGCAGTTATTGGGTTTCCACATCATGGAGTTAATTATTATTTTCTTTTTTATTGTAGACCTTTTTGAGCAAGGGAAATAAGAAATAATTGTGTTATCAATACATTAAATGAGGTCACTAGGACTTTTTGATTGATTATGGTATGATCAGGTATGACCTTCTGTCTCTTCCCTATCTCTAAATATTTTTGTAGGTTTTTTAAATCTCGAAATCTAATACGTAGGCCATGATTTTAATAGCGAAATATAGCCTTCTGATATGATTTATGATTTTTGGATAGTAAATTCGCAGAGAACTATTTGGGGGGGAATTGACATTTTTGGGGCGAAGTCAATGCCAGGAATTAACGGTCGCAAACGGTGAAAAAATACGACAGTCACTTTACATTTTTTCATTTTCACTAAAATATAAGCTAGTGCCCTTTTCACTGTCTCCGGTGAAAATTGTCACTGAAATAAAGGTCTGCAATTGGACGCAGAAACGGACGAAACGATCCAACCCACGGCACGGGGGCACGGCACACGCCGGGCAAGCCACGTGGCCGACCTAGTGCCGACCGGCTAGCGCCGCGCGCGCATCCAGGCAGGCATGCAGTGGCCAGCCAGTGCACGCACACCGTACACACAAAGTACGTGAGAACACACAACTCACCAAAAGTGCCATCATTTTCAGTTAGTCTCAGAGTCACTTTTAGTTGGTCAGTCTCAGTTGGTCAGTCTCAGCTGGTCAGTCTAAGCAGGCCGGTCTCAGTTGGTAATTCTCAGTCGGTCAGTCTCAGTTGGTCAGTTTCGGCTGGTCAGTCTCAGTCGGTCAGTCTCAGTTGGTCAGTCTCAGTTTGTCAGTCTCAGTTGGTCAGTCTCAGTCGATCAGTCTCAGTTGGTCAGTCTCAGCTGGTCAGTCTCAGTTGGTCAGTCTCAGTCGGTCAGTCTCAGTTGGTCAGTCTCAGCTGGTCAGTCTCAGTTGGTCGGTTTTGGCTGGTGAGTCTCAGCTTGTCAATCAAAGTTGGTCAGTCTCAGTTGTTCATTCTTAACTGGTCAGTCGCAGCTGGTCAGTCTCAGCTTGTCAGTCTCAGCCGGTCAGCCTTAGCTGGTCAGTCTCAGTTGGTCAGTCTCGGCTGGTCAACCTCAGCTGGTCAGTCTCGGCTGGTCAACCTCAGCTGGTCAGTCTTAGTTGGTCAGATGGTCAGTCTGAGAAGGGTTGCTCCCAGAACCAGGCCATGGCTTTTAAAATAAGTTTCGATACAGGGACTTATTTAAGCTCAATTAATAATTGGCACTGTTGGGCTTCGCTCGTACTCCCGCTCTGCAAACAGGACACTGGGATACTCTGATGAATGCACGCTCTGATTGGTTGGATTTTGCGTGACCTGTGACATGGGCGTCATCACGGTCATGACTCTGCAAGGTTTGAAGCGGCCGTTAATACTGATTCATTACTCTTTTATTCCAGTTTAGAGATATTGTTTCTCGTTAAAAAGCGAAATAATGTAAGAAATTCTGTAAAACTTATCCGTGTTGTAAATTTTCAATTCCCGTCGCTTACTCAGGCTCCGTTTCGAATCACGAACGGTCGGATGGCATTATGCGACGCTCAAAATTTTGTCCACATGGTCCGCAATGAAACAGAAATCACATCCGATATGGAATGTGCGCATTTCTATGGAAAGTTTTCGGATAGCATTTGCGCACATTGTCTAATTGCGGTTTTGAACAGCTGCAGCCAGATGCTTATACATAGGTCATAGGCCACTTTCTTCACAAGATTCTGTGAAGCTCATCAACTTCTTGTTGTCCAAAGATTTAAATTAAAAAAAACCCGTTAATTTATAAGTTTTAATATTTCGCCCTTTCAAAGTCTTCTGACGCACTCGGCAGCATTCTATGAACAATGTAATTATCAAGAATGGAATTCCGTTATATCAATATCTACGGGCTTTTACCATGCTTGATGGCACCAATGTATTCCGCGTTTCAATATTTCGCCTGTTCAAACAAAGACTTCTGACGCACTCAGCATATTCTATGAAAACTGTAAATATGAAGGACAGAATTCCGTTTTTGCAATATCTACGCTCTTTCTTCATATGTTTTTTTTCTAAAGGTTCGTTATTGAGGTGC